AGGCAACACACCCCGGGGTCTAACAACACTGTAACCGTGAAAAAGGCCGCGTCGAGCCGACGTTCGCCCCGGGACTCTCGGGCCGGGCGGGAATAAACTCTCGCCCGAAAACGCGAACCCGGCGTTTTCCCCCGTAATTCGCGTACCGTGCGCGGCGTTCCGTGTTGTTCGACACCGTGCCGCACAGTTTTGAACGTTCGAAATCCGGCCGTTTTTCCGTAGGTTTAACACGTTTTAAAAGGTCACTCGACCATAATCATGTGCACACGTTGATAGTCGATCCAGTTCAGCGACTTGACGTCGACGTTATTCGGGAAACGTAACGCAGTATAATATGATGTCTAATCGGCGGGTTACGACGACTCGGCTTTTCTCATGCGCGGCGCGTGTTCGTCGAGACGCCGCGTTACACGGACGAACAGCCGGAGTTCAGTCACGCGTTCAATGATGGAAAAAAAAAAAATACAATAATAAATACGATGAATAAAAATCGTCATCGTTGCCGCCCGTATTATTATTACGCGCGTTGCACGATGCATGTTCCCCGATGACTTTATACGCATTATAACAGCATGATAATGACGTGATTAGCAGCGCACCGACCGCGCGCGCCCGTGTAAAAGGTAAAGGCGACCTTTTTTTTTTTTTTTTCCGCCGCTAGACGCGTTTTAAAAATACACGCGCCCATCCCACGGCTTCCCGACGCGTTCGACAGACAACCGACTGACGTGATTATTATCAACAATGTAATACGGCGTGACGTCGGATCGAAAACTGTAGGACGTGGGGGGAGGGGGAGGGCAACACGTTTTAAATGGGGAACACGCGGCCGGTCGGCGGCCCGGACAGTTGTTATTTGTCAACCGTTGTCCAACGGTTGTCCGTGTTTTATAGGCTACGTGTGTGCACTGGTAAAATAAACGTGCAGCCGTCATTACACGTGCACGTCAAACACACACACCAAGTCCGTGCATATTTCGTGCAGTATTTTAAATATACGTGCAATTGGTGGGTGGGCGAGGGGGGGGGGTGAGGACCTAGTAAATTCGAGTAAATATCAAGTGACCGAGTTTATTGTAACACAGCGATAAATAAACGTTTAAATAATCGTACGCATTGTTGTGTTTTATCGACTAATAGATGGATGGATGTATTTGTGTGTTCTACTTTATCTAGATCAATGATCGACAAGTTAATAAGCCGATAAATGAATAATTCATCTACGCGAATCGTTTTAAACCGTAATTTCATATCGTGTTAGTTAGAAATAACGGGCGAAATATTCAATCGCTATACTATATAAGATGGTTTGATAAATTAATTCCTTCGGTTCCGGGGGGAAAACGGCTCGGGTCAATTTTCTATAGTTTTGACCGGCGGGTTCCGCGAACCTGGTCGCGAAGACTCGGACCATGGGCGACTGCAGTGGTATAGTGTTAAGTTATATTTTAAGTTAGACGTATAGGATTATTTTCGCTTCATCGTCACAGTCTATTAGTTACCTATGCATGTCAGCGTGTCCCGCCGGGGGAAACAAGATTTGAAATATATGTTAGCTGCATTTTTTTTAATAAACGATGGCAGCAGTGGGGGAGTATTGCGCGAAAACACGTCCTTCATTACACGAAACAAATTAATACATTCGTACAGTTTTCAACGCAATAAGGGAATTAAATTTTGAAAATTGCTAAACGGCCTGACCTAAAACGCTATTCTAAATGGTTTGAATATCATTGTACAGCAAAGGTACTTTAATTGTCGGGACTTATACGAATTTTATCAAAAATCGAAATTCAGACGTTTTTTTCGACCACTGAGTACAACATGCGACGAATCTTCAATAATTGTTGAGATCTATGTCGACCGTTATATTCGCATACATCAACGAACTCTGCACAACTCGAATAGCAATGGAAACGATTCGAAAAGAGGCAAAATATTTTTGAAATGGATTACTGACGACGTTTAGAAAACGTATTCGGTGGCGATTTCAGTTTTCTAAGACTGTTTCCCGTTGTTTTTCTCTCGGATTTTCCCCGTTATCACTAAAGAAACACTGTGTAGTTAATTATTTTTTTTTTTTAAATAATCTCTTTGACGCACTCACTGTGAACCAAAATACTGTACGAAAAAAGTTTCTGTGGAATTTTTGACCGGAGCCAATATTCAACAGGTGGAAAATCGTTCGGTATACTGTCACAATCGTAACGAAAAATTACGACCGGTCGAGGTTTTTTTTTTTTTATGAACAATAAACGTGCAAACCGATTATCATAAAATTAGGTACGTATGGTCGAAGAGATGAGATGATGCGGGTTTTTTTCCCGTGCAAATTGTCCAATTAAAACGGCAAAAAAACCTACCGATCCGGCCGCTTGCGGTCGGCAGAATTCTTCGTTGGCGTGTACGTTTAAACGTTTTTTTTTCTTCAATTAAAAGCTATTGTGTTTTTGTTTTATTTTTATTTTTTTTTTTTTTCATATACATATTATAGGACTCAATGGAACACTGCTGTAAACGACTCTCCGTGCTGTCTAAAACTGGATACCGACACGAGAGAATATCCGCGACGAGATCCGTCTGCAATAATTTATACGACCAGTCGTGTCACGTGTACCTGTTTATACCTACCCCGTACCCACTTATAAAGATTAAAAAAAAAAAAACTACGATGCTAAAAAATGAAAATAAAAATATCTCTTCGAACAGCGCGCGTGGTACGCACGCACACAATGAGATTTTCGAGAGCTCGTTATATTTTATTATTATTATTATTGTATATTGTATAATATTTACTGGCCGTTCTTTGTCCGAGCATATTTGTATATTATTATGATGTTTGAGACGGAGAGGGGTTGTAATATTGTCGGCGTGAATAAGACGAAATGTGAATTTACTCCCGGAAATTGTAACGGATATTTATAAACCATTCTTGTATTATAGTTACAACTTACAAATACGAAATGATTTTCCCTCGAAATTGCAATTCCTCCGGGTCGGAATAAATAACGTTTGGTTTTCGTTCGGTACGCGCACGTCTCCTCCGCACGGCCATCTCCCCCCCCCCCGCTATCAGCAACGCAACGAACGTTGGACGATAGGTACGCAGTGGAGAACTACAGCTACTTACGGCGATATAGGAGAAGCGGAGAAATATTCGATAGAAGCGTGCGTATCGGAAAACTGCGATAGCGCCGATATTTATTTTGCGACTTTATACGGTACGTTCCCCTTAAGTTGCCCGTACATCTTTACGTGGCTACACTAGATATTTCGAAAAGTACCGACTTGTCAAAGAAAGAAAAATAAAAAGAAATACGGCCGAACTTCGCGCGTGGGCGGGCCACTGTTGTAGGTGAGAAGTCGGGAAGGTTGAGGAGAAATTCAACGCATATCAATAACACGAAACGATTAACCGTTGTCAACGAAAAACGATTCTGAACGGAGTTCGGTTAACGGTGTTGCTTTGTCAACAATATATATGTATGTCATGTTATGGTAAAATAATTACAAAATATGCATTATATATATATTTTTTTTTTTAGTAATATTTGTTTAATATTTTACCGATTTTCCTGTTTTCCCGTGTTTTTTCAAGGTGTTTCCAATTTATTATGAAAACAGCTAGAAAAATCCAAAAATAACTTCCTTAAGTACCACCCCAGTCAGATTTCCTTTCAGAAAAAGCGCTAAAATTGAAAATCGGAGCAAAACTGCTGGTAGAAAAGTTGTTCGCGGGGAAATAAAAAAGACCGTGATATTTGTTTACTAATAACGCATATATACATTTCGTACATTTTCCCGATTTTCCAATACAATCATCGTTCTGTTCAGAATCTAAAATCGTTTAGACAATATGTTGTCTGTGCAATTTTATATCAGTATAATTGTTTGTCACCTTTATTTTTGGAGGTGAAACGACCAACTGCTTTTAACTTTCGAACGACAACATGTATGAAAAATTCCATAAATACTTGGAGCATCATAGTTCAAATACATTTTGGTGTTGGCATTTTTGATTTTCGTTAACCCGTTGACGAGATATTTCGCTTTTAAATTTTGGGTAGGGAGAGAGTAGCGGAGCATCATTTGTGTGGCGTTTTTAATAGTATTCCATTACTCTCTACTATGCATTCCGTTGAAATGGCATTCGCAGTTTTATATCCGTTTATACAAAATCAAAATCGTCCGTTGTTTACTTAAAAATAATGACTCCGCCGTACCGATTAATCATGATAATATTATAATAAAGAGTTATTATTGTCCACACCAACTTTGACACTCATCCTTTGTAACTCATATAAGTGGTTGGAGAAAGATGGAGAATGATAAATCATCGCAGACAGTCGTGTATTTACTTGTTGTCCGCAAAGTAGGAAACACAGATATTGACTAAAATTAAATGATAAAAAAAAAAAAAGCACTTATAGATGATGAACGATATACCGTTTCGAACAAAGTGCTATACCGGCTACAGACATACCGCATCTTTTGAGGTGCTGCGTGAAAAAATCGGAACATTGCCTAACAAAAAAAAACTTCAGACATTTTTTTTTTCAGAAATGATAGGGATTAGTAAAATTGAAAACTTGTTCAATCTATAAAGTAATATTCGGCGAATTTTTTTTTTTTTTTTTAAGATGTGACGTGAAAAAATCAAATCATTTTTACTAAACATGAAATTTTTTCAGAGTAAAACGGGGTACGGTCATCAGAGGGCCAAAATAGAAATCGGAAAATAAAACGGAGAAAATGTAACTAGAGTGTGTAAACAAAATGCCGATACACTACAAGTTCAATTAAATTCTGAGTAGCACGTAGAAATATGAAATTCCAATACCGGCCGGACGTCCGAAAACATTTTTAAATTCCAATTTCTACAATACACCTAGGGCAGCGGGGAGACGTCTCACGCTCAAATTTGTATTTTTGAATTTCCCAAGTTAAAACAGTAATTTACTGCATAAGCGGACAAAATAACCCGTCAAGCGACGGATTTTCGGGTTTTTTTTATATTTTTACAACAGATTTTCTTTCCGCGGGGAATAGTTTTTGTTGTTGTATTGTAATTTATCTATCCACGACCGCGTCCGACAAGCGGTTTATATCGCAACGTTTAGTTGCAACGTCCGTCTGATAATATTCTCTCGGTACATGTGTTGTAATTTATTTCGCGAATCTTTTAGCCGATTTTTTCTGGCGGTGGGCACGGGGCAAGGGGGCGAGCGTTTGAATCGAAAGAAATATTACTCGGCGAAATTTGCATCGCATAACAATCACACGGGCGAGCGACGGGAAAAACAACGAAATATCATTGTATATATTTTATTATTTTCCCCGCGTATATTATTATTACGCATTTCCCGCGCTTAAATCGAATTGAATTATTATAATACTTTGCGTTTTGTACGGTTTATACGATTCGGAGTCGTCGTTATACGCTATCGCTTACGGTCCGTGAGTATAACGGACGCCGCGCTGTTAAACGATTCATTAGAATATTATACAAAGTCATCGTGATTTTTACCCGGTATAATTTATTTAAATTTCGCCGCGGATCTCATCGCGTAATTTTACATTTCGCATTTATTCCGAACCGCGCCGCGCCCCGCACGGGCTGCAGATATCACTTTCTACCCGGGCGATTTATATATGTATATATATATATATATAAAAAAAAAAAAACGACCGTTCAAATGGCCAAAAACCGAAATCCGAGGGCACTAAATTATTAGAAACATACGAATTGCAATATTTTTCGTACTCGAATTCGTATTACCCGCGTACATAATTTACTCAACATTTGGAATTGGGACTTCGAATAGTTTTGTTAATCGAATTATAGAAGCTAAAACGTGTAAGAGTATATTCTGAATCATTTAATGATTTTTTAGTGAAGAACGAACAGAAAAACGAAGAGGTTCAGAAATGGTCGGTTACGATAACAGCCCAGCCCACATAATCATAATCACAAAATAATCGTTAATGTAGGTATGATTGGTGTGAATTGTGTTTCCACGCGGTGACGTCGACGCTCGCACCCCACGTAGTATTGATAATGATTAATGATTATAATATTATTTTAACGCGATGACATTAATTCAATAAAAAAAATGCCGATACTGCTAATGAGTGTGCCACCGTTTTAGGAGGGAAGTGAGAATGGAGGATACGTTACTATAGAGTAATTTATTTTATTTCTGAACGTGACCATAAACTATTGCTAATGGAAAACGATTAGGCGCAGCAGCGGTGTAGCCAGGAATTTTAAATCAGACGAAAGGGGAGGGGGATAAAAACAAACATATCCGCGTTTGTCTTATAAGCTTTATTATATATTACAAAAATTCATAATATACTAAATATTTCATCGTCGAATAAACGTGAAAAACTGAAAATAACGCACCGTATAGGTGTTATATTATCATAATAAAATTCCATATATAGTCATGTTTTGGTTTTTGATCTAACGCAGTTGTCCGAAAACTGACAACGATCCCGCTCGCTCATCTTCAGGACTTCAAACCTTCTAATATTATTCGACAACAATTCCATTCACATATATATATACACACATTTTAAACAAGTTAATTACTTGCACGAGTCTGTAAGTGTGTTTAAAACCTATACGAAAATATGAAATCTGAGCATAAATCGGTTGGAGGGAAGGTTGAAAGTTGAAACATCCTTGATACTTCCACCATTCATGTACAAAATTCTATCGCCCTGGCTTCAATTAGGAGTCTGCAAAGGCATAGAAAGTAAAAAAAAAAAAAAATCTTCCTTCCACAACAACAAGGTGAAGTCTATATTGAAATTACTTGTTTTTGTTAAAATTCATTTTCAAAACGCTTAGTAAAAAAAAAAGTCGTCCGATGGTTTTGAAAATTTGACCACGTCTAGGTAAGTTCAATATAAGTATTATTGCTAAGTTTTAATTCTCTATGTGTATTTATAACCGGATTACAGTAATAAAATCCCAAAAATTAAAATTCCTTAAGCTCAAGAGTTTTGGTGATGGTGCCGTAAGAAAGTAAATCAAAAAGGCAACGAAAAATGTGTCTTGTGATTTTTCCATTAAATCATTTTTTCAGGTAGAAAACTTCGTCCGTGTTTTTATAAAATAACGAAATCTTGAAATTTTACGTTTTTCTGTTTTTTCCCACTTAAGTGCTTTCATTTAAAATATGGTCGGTACAATGTACAATCTAGACAACTTGAGCTTTTAGAAAAGTTGCTAAACGCAAAAATCGGAGCAAGTTTACTAGGAATAAACGTGTCCACAGACTAAAAGAAAGAAAAACAAGAAGAGAAAATAAATACCTTAGCAAAACCAATAGCACCCCTCGCTACGCACGAAATCTAAAAAACCATCTATTCCGTAACAATACAAACCTTTGGATACGCGCGATAATCGTCAACAGGTATAAATCCGCATTTACTTTCGATTAACCGTTTTTTTTTTTTTTTTTTGCAAGTGGGCGGATCGTTACCTCGTTTTTTTACTTCGGTATCTTTGTGGTGTGTTTATTTTCTTTTTTTTTCTTTTTGCTACCCGTCGATAACTCGCGTTCAACAATACGATTAGGTATATAAAGCTTGTCAAACATTTTTTTTTACTATTATTATTATTACACCGGTGCCGTGGTGGACGGAGTGAGTGACACCCGTTCGACGCGATAGCATCAATACACTAAAAAAAAAAGAACTTTAACAGAAGCCTATGATAAAAATACACGTTCTACTGTGTTGATTCCACTAAAATAAAATGCTAGAATTATTTATTTTCAGTTTTTCAAATTCCCCAAGAACTTTCACACCGTCACCGTATCATTAGAAGGCTGTCATAGTACAATTTTTGGCGTCTGGTCTGTTTTTCTAACACGAAAAACAAGCTAAAAAACTCTTAGAGTCGGTTTTGAATATAATACTTCTTTTACACAATTTGTAGATAACTACATTTTGAAGATAATATTCAGTTGGCATGTTTTAAAATAATTTAAGAAATAACAGTTTTTTTAAAAAAAAATTCCGTTAAAATACGATTTGTTATGCTTTTGATAATGAATCGATTATTTAGAGAATTTTAAAACGCCGACTAGGTTTATCTTTAAAACCAATTTTAAAAACCTTTTCGTTTGTTTTTGTTACACTGCCCATTAGAAAGACAAAAACGTCATTTGTCACAGTGACGACATTTTAAAATAATATGCTGTCTTCCCGTCCGTTTCTAAACTCGGTTATAAAATTGTGTTAAACGAGTATATTATAATAATATAACTAAATAAATTTGATTATTAACCGTCGTGATATGAGACGAGAAGTTACATTCCGTTACAATTTTATTTCGATACCCACGGGTCTCATTATCCGCATTTACAATGTCCGTTAGTACCATTAGTAACAACCGCGATTATTATTTAGACACCGTAGTTGTCAAAGGTCGATAGGACCTATGATAGGACCGTCATAAAATGGCAATCGGTTTTAATCATCTTAAATCTATTGGTTTACGGGCCGCTACCGCTTGTATGACGGTATGAGAGAATAATGCGGAGTTGAGAAAACCCGTACATTTGCTATCACGCTGGAAAATATAAACCCGCGTGGAGTTCGACAAAGTGTCGAGTTGCTGGACGCATAGCATAAAATGTACGGGATTTCTTAACGCGACATTCACTCACGCCATCACAATGACGCTAGCGGTTGAGAAACCCGATTATTGGGATTCAATTCGACAGACGACCATAATGCAATAGTAACAATCGCCGCCTTGGTCGCCAAGGTAATAAGATTATCCACGAAGAGACAAAAGAAAATATTAAAATATATATTTTGAGAAGGGCCCTTTGGCCTCGAGATAAATTGCTGCTGCCGCGTACTATCGTTTTTTTTTCAGACTAGTTTGCATGTTTAGAGGAAATTCTTAAAGATTTATAACGATATGATGAGTGGCGTTGTTTGGCAGTGAAACTTGAACAATTAGCTGGGTCGAAAAAAAAAAAAAACAAAAAATTACGAAAGTCAATATTAAAAACAATAACCCTCGAAAGAAGTGAATACCAAAAGGGAAAAGTTTATAAAACTAATAGGATTACCGACGGTAATAATAAATAAGAAAACCGTTTTGCTTTAAACACGGTTTTTTTTTTCGAGTCCGCCACAGGACGCATGACAAAAGTTTGTGAAGCGTTTGATTGATTCGCGATACCCACTGAACGTCAAACGTTTTCGAACCGATGTTTTATAATCAGTATTTATCGGAAAAGAATCTGCGCACGGCGGTTGTCGTCGCGCGATAAAAAACGACACCGAGTTGAACCGATCAAATGGCCGGCGGTTCACCCGCGCGAATAGACGTTCGGGGTAGCGCGGTCGCGAATCGACGTAGGCCCGAGCAAGTCCATGACCGTCGCGGCGGTCGTGGACAACACCGTACGCGTTTCGTCTCGTAACACGACGCGACGATTGCCGCGTGTGCGTTACCGCGTTAACAGTGGCGTATCTCCCCCCCCCCCCCCCCCCNCCCCCCCCGTCCCCGGAGACACTCTTATCGCCGATATCTCTGCACTCGGTTTTCGCCGCGACCGCGCGTACCGCGGACGATCCGTCTCACGGTTCCCCCGGGCGGACGGCCGCGGGACAACCGACGGCGCTCTGATGAACAATAAATACGACGCCGGTCCGCCGCCGTTTTTCGAGGGCGAACCCGACGTCCGCCGCCGCCCGCACGCCCGCACGCCGCGCGGCGCGTCCCGTACGGCAATTGAATGTGTACGGCAAAAGGCAAGTGCCGCAGGCGACTATACACATACACACACATACATACACATACATACTTATATACATACACAATAGTCTGTGTTTGTGCAATGATAATTACTACCTGTACCGCGGTACGGCGGCGGCCGTCGGCAACGACACTTTTCGAGCGCCCACGCGGTTCGTGTTGTTCGTGTTTTTTTTTACAGCGCGCGCTAGCCGCGGCCGGGCGTCTCGACGCCCGCCGCCGGCCCGCGAGGGAAACGGGCGCGTCCGAGTCGGGTTTCCGTCCCCCCCACCACTCTCCGGCGTTTGGAAATCCACCCGAGTCGGGCCCCGGGTCGGCGCGGGCGCTGTACCGGCCGGGTGTCAGGCCGGATTTCCGCGGGCTCTCCGACGCCGGTCGGGTCCCGAGTGAACAGTGTCGCACGTATTAACGCCATTGTCTGTTGGCTGCCGGGGCGACGAGGTAAACGCGGGCAATATGCGTTCGGACGAACGGGACCCGAAACGCTTTCTAATAAATTCTTACGCGGGTACAATAC